GGGAAGGCTTGAGATTTCCCTCCCCCCATTTTTCCCATCATGTTTGCTCCCCATTTAGCAGGGGGGATTTACGTGCAAGGCGGTTGCCTCCTTCTAATGTTTCTAACGAGGGGTGGTCTTACATTCACCACCCCTCCGCTGTTTCCGTCACCTTGCGCCTTCTCCTCTCTCTTTCTCTCTCTCGCTCTCTCCGCCACCTCCTTCAGGCTCATAACCTCGTTGCGGAAGAAGATGACGGAGTTCCACCCCTCTTCGCTCTCCAGCATTATTTTCATGACGCTGGGAAGCGACAAGTCCTCCCCGATCTTGTTTTTGAGGATACGGCGCTGCCCCTCGAATGCTGCACAATGTTCGAAGGTGTGCTGCGCCGTGTCCTCATCATCCTGGCAGTGGAAACACTGCGCGGTGCGCGCCTTTTCTATGATATGCAGGTACTCCTAAAAACAGCCGTGACCTGTGATCACTTGCGTAGATCTGAACGACGTTAGTCCGTGGGTCCGATCCACCCATTCTTCTAGTATCGGACCCATCCGACCCCAACAACACGTGCCCTCGATATCGTTAAGGGCACATTGGAGAGGCAATCTTTTCACCTCTCCATCATGTGTCGCCGGGCTCGGAGTCTTACCTTATCCCTAACCCCAGCGGGGAGCTTCACTCCACTCTTACGGAGCTCCCTACCCATTTTTTACGCCTCCGCGTACGTTTTGGTCGTTAGCTCCATGGGAGAAACCCCCGCCAAGGTTATCGCCGCCGCGTGGGACACCGTTCTGTACCCGCGGATGCAGCGAATGGCCTTCTCTGGACGCGTTTAAACTTGCCACAAATTAGTTTGGAGGCCATCGCCACATCCGCCCATACCGGTGCTCCGTATTGAGCAATCGAGTTCAAAATGCCCATGTACAGTCGGCGGACCCGACCGTCTGGTTCCCCCAAATTTGGTAGCAGGCGACATAGTGCCTCTGCTACCCCGTCCATCTTGTTGATCAGACGATCAAAGTGTTTGGTAAAACTCCAAGACCCGTCCAGCGTGAGTTCTAGATATTTGAGGGTTTTGCCCACGGGGACGAGAACGTCGTTTACAGCAACATGAGCCCTCGGCGGCACTCCATGTGTGCCATCATGTATGAATAGCGCCTCTGTCCTTTGAGGCGCCACTTTCAGACTCGTCGCTAATCGCGCGCACGACGCATGCCACTGCTTGATTAGCAGTTTCCACTGCCTCCCTCCAATTAATCCCCCCGGCTATAACCAGTGTCGTCTGCGTAGCAGACGACACTGCAGCCGGGGGGAATATGATCAATAACATTGTAAAAAAATTTAATAGTTACCATAACCGACTAAAATTTACAGTTGAGTGGGAGGAAAACCATTGCATAAATTTTTTAAACTTAAATATAAACTCTATTGACAATAAAATATATATAGACTAGTTCCATAAAAAAACTTTTTTAGGTAGAATGCTATCACTTTACTCTAATCATCCGATGTCATAAAATAGGAACCATTTATAAATTATTAGATAGATCTTTCTTACTATCAGATCCGAAAGAACTCCGCACTAATCATATGGAAAATGTCTCCCGGTAAAATCAGTTGGTTTTTTCATATGTTGTAGCTTATGACCTACTAAACCAAAAATGTAATAGGCACAAAGTTCAATAATGGACAGTTATCGAGTTATAACCAGTCAAACATGAAACATTCGGGTTTCCGAATAGTCAAATCTCAGAAAGTATAGATTTTTTGGAAAAATGTTTCAAACAAAAATAGTAGGGTTTTACCAAATCTATTAGCTGGTAATATTTTTTTGAATTTTGAATGACCTTGACAAGCTCCATCAACCTAAAAATTCTCCACAAAAATCTTTATATGTCACAGCAGAGATAAAAACCCCACGGTTCGTCATTCCTGTAGTATTTTCTGACACCAAACCCTCTCTGCTGTGTGTGTGTGTGTGTGTGTGTGTGCGCGCGCGCGCGTGCGTGTGTGTGTCACAGCAGAGATAAGGACCCCACGGTTTGTCACTCCCGTAGTATTTTCTGACTCCAAACCCTTTCTGCTGTGTGTGTGTGTGTGTAGATTAATAAAGTAAATGATCTTAATTGTGTATTAATCATTATTTGGATCCTGGTGTAGTGGTCTCTGAGCGGCATCTAATATTGTGTTTAATAATGATGAAGGAGAATAACGAACATTAAGCTGGTGTCGTGCATATCCTAAATACCACAATACGCTGGCTATATGTGCACATGTACCAAAAGTCCGTGCGCCTGACTTACAGGTACAGTAATAACCGAAAATCGCCTCCCTCTCATCATTTATATTATCTGCATCTCCCGTGTCGTAAGCTATAAATATTTGATGCTTTATTGCATTTCGAAATCGCGAAAACACTCGCACTCTTATAAAATCTTGTTAGTCAAACAATGAATCCAATTGAAACTCTTCTTGTGCATCACGCTGCATCTTATCTTGAATATAAGATCTTGCTAAACGAACCTGAAATGTACCAATAGTCAAATCTCATAAATATTCTAATGTAAGACGTGGAAAGTCACGTAACTGTCCCTCATGTAAATGTACCCATTGTGCATTTCTATAGCACATCCTTTCTACCTCAACTTGTGCTTGAACAATATTAACCTCTCTAGACTTATCCAGAAGTTCTCTTGCTAATTCTGCATTAACTCCTTTCATCAAAACTAAAGGGTGATATCTATTAATTATAGCACCTGCAATGTTATAAAATTTGCCCAGATGATGAAGATGAGGCATTAATTGCATGATCAAAAAACTTGAATATAGACTTGATATGTCCATTTCTAGCCATAATAATACTTTATTATCAAGTTGCATAGCAATATTAGACTGATCAAATATCAAAATCTTTTCTGGTGAAATAACTAAGACCAAAATGAATGAAATACGGATATCAATAATATCAATATCAGACGTAGCAATGCCAGAAAGTGATAGCATTCGGCAGCAATAACGCTAGAATGGATACGCTTAGTAATGATAATGGCTGCACTAGAAATATCCGACCGACACTCTCCACTATTACGTCCGATATTGATATTATTGATATTCGTGTATTTCATTCATTTAGTTATTTCACCAGAAAAGATTTTGATTTTTGATCAGTCCGATATTGCTACGCAACTTGATAATAAAGTATTATCATGGCTTACAGACATCTAATCCATCGAATCCATTGTTATGTTTGCGATCGTGCTTTTCAAGTTCGACAAATTGTTCGAATCAATGGCGATAATAATGCAATTAAAAGACAAATTGCTGTTTTTAGGCGAACTGAACTTGGTCAGGAGCCCATTGATATAAACAATGAAAGCCGATTATGTTTTAATTGCAATGTATCTATTGCACATGAAATAAAACAGGTAGAACTTGATCCAACATGTCTACAACTCAACGTTTTTACTCAAACCAAAAATAATTCTTGTTTGTTAGAATGCAGGGTAAATGTCTTTGTTCTGAAAAATATTTATATTCCTAGAAACGTATATTGTTGTGATTAACATTTGGATAATCGCGGATTTATTTTAGAGTTACTGTTATTAGATTTGCAATTTATATACAGACCATATGTAATAAAAGGTCAGCAACTGCAAGTTTTCTTAGAGGCTCTTCGTAATGTGACAAATAATAATAATTGTTGAAAACGAAAATAGTTTTACAGAGAATGAATTTGAATGTATAGCATCCATTACAAAACAACAATTTCAAGAATTGTATACATATTGCGATCCTATACCCTAACAACGTGGTATCAGAAACGTTACTAAAAAAGCTCTTTTAACTTTTTTATGCAATAATTGTAAACAAAGAAGGGCTATAAGAACTATTAAACGTAATACAGTTGACAGTTGATATTAATAAACTTCATTTAAACCAAATAATAAATACACAAGAAATAAACATTTTGGGAACGTTTTGGCTGACATTTCAAGCTTTCTTTAGCGCAATAAAAATATTTTAATTATAAATTGAATTGTAATATTAAACATTAAAGACGGTTATTACCAATGTCAAGATAATACATATATAAAGTCAGCTTTAGATCTCGTTACATATGTTGCTAAACAAGTCATCGTGTATGACAACCACCATTACTGATACATACTGAGTTTGAGCGACCGTACCATGCAACCACTTATGAGTATAGACTTTCTGATTTACTGGTCAAGGGAGATCAAATATTTATAGCTTACGACACGGGAGATGCAGATAATATAAATGATGAGAGGGAGGCGATTTTCGGTTATTACTGTACCTGTAAGTCAGGCGCACGGACTTTGAGTACATGTGCACATATAGCCAGCGTATTGTGGTATTTAGGATGTGGCGATTACATCGTCATATACTTCCCAAATATTATCGAACAAAAACACGTATACGAATACGGTCACACACACAAGCGAAAAGTACCGAGACATAAATAAATATAAATAAGAACATAACAGACGAGACAGATAGAGACGAAAGACGAGAAGCACAGAGACAAATATCAAGACGATTAAGAAACAAAGGAAGTAAACGAATAGAAAATTCTCGAAGCCTCTCGAAGCCTATCAAAGGTCGATTTTGAGGCAAAAGATAGAAAGAGCGATTTTACATGCGAGAGATTCCGTTATCGACAGTCACCGCGTACGGACATACATTATTAATCCGAGCGATTTAATATTCATGTATCGACTTTAAAAGACTGTGCTTTCTTGAAGAATATACTTTCATTTAATTGCAATTAATGCCTCTTATCATTTAATTCCCGACTCGCACCGAACCGATTAAGTAATCGCGCCGCGAAAGACTAAAGTGATGACGTCCCGACGTGATCGCGAACAAACGGGAATTCGCGATTTTGTGTTCGCGTGAGAGAGCAGTTCATTATTTTTTACATTTTTAACTTGTGAGACGATACCTTCGATCGGACCCGGGAGTCAGAGTAATCAGCTGTGAGTGCAAAACGATTCGGCATGATTGTGACGCGGGACGACGGAGTGGTCGGTTCGTGCGTGGAGACAGAGGCGCGGGCGTTCGAGCAGCCGCGTGTGCAAGTGCAGCAGGCGGCCCCCATTGCGATACAAGCGGTCAGATTGGAGCAGCCGCCGGGGTATTTTTTAACCGCCCCCGAGATAAACCGTGTCGGCATGCAAATGCCAGAATTTACACCGTCGGATCCGGTGCTCTGGTTTAACATCGTCGACCGGAGTTTCCAAGCCGCCGGAATCACGGTCGACGCGACGAAGTTCGGATACGCGTTAACATCTATCGGGCCGAATTACACTGCCGAGGTGCGAGATATCATTATGAATCCGCCTGCGGAGCACGCGTATGAAACGCTGAAGACAGAGTTAGTCAAGCGTCTGAGCTTGTCACAGGAGCATAAGACCCGGAGGCTCCTGGAACACGAGGAGATTGTAGACCGCAAGCCGTCGCAATTTTTGCGACACCTCCGCGGCCTTGCCGGAAACGTAGTTGGCGACCCCGTCTTGCGGACGATCTGATTGAGCTGATTGCCAGCATATATTCAGCCGCATTTGGTGACGCGTACGACGGATACGATTGAACAACTGACAGATATCGCGGATGCGATTGTCGAGGCGACCCGAGCACCGGCCTTTCAAGTGGCCGAGGCAGCAAAATTCGTGCTACCGCAGACGCAATGCGCGAGCGATCCCGGGGCCTTGGAAGCTAGATTGGAGGTGCGACTGGCCCAGATGCGGCTGGCCATGCAACAGGAGATGGCGGAGCAGCTGACGGCCATCCGGAAGTCGATCGAGGCGATCGGTGACGGTCGATACCGAGAAGATGATCGACGTCGTTCGCGCTCTCGTTCGCGTTCGCGTTCGCGCCCGCGAGCGCGATCCAGCAGCCATGGTCTACCGGCCAGCGGCGTATGCTGGTACCACTGGCAATTTGGAGCGGAAGCACGACAGTGCAGAGCATCCTGCTCCATGCAACAGCAGGGAAACGCAGGAGCCGGTCGTTAGAGGCGGCGAGCGACCCGGGACACAATGCGCACCGTTTATTTGTGACTGACGCAAACACAAAGATATAATTTTTAATTGACACGGGCGCGGATCTCTGCGTGTTTCCTCGGAAGATGGTTCGAGGTCTACGACAGAGATCGACCTATGAACTTTTGGCCGCCAACGGCACACCAATTTTTACTTATGAAACGGAAAACATGACGCTAAATTTCGGGTTGAGACGGGCGTTCGCATGGAGATTTGTGATCGCGGATGTTTTAAGACCAATAATCGGCGCCGATTTTCTTGCGCATTATGGCCTACTTGTGGATTTGCGCAATTCTCGCCTCGTCGACCAGCTGACGAGCTTAACTACACGTGGGCGTTGTGTCCAATGCGACGTGCCCCAGGTAAAAACAATCACGGGGAAGACACTATACCACCGGTTGTTGGAAGAATACGCGGACATAACGAAGCCGGGAGGACAAATAAAAAAAAGCAATTCACGCCACGCGACACGTTATCGAGACGACGCCGGGACCGCCTGTCACGTGCAGACCACGGAGACTCGCTCCGGATCGACTTGCAGCCGCGAAGAAGGAGTTCCGACGAATGGTAAAAGCCGGAATCGCGCGACCTTCCAAGAGCAGTTGGTCGGCGCCTTTACATATGGTGCCGAAAAAGGGCGAAGAGTGGCGACCTTGCGGCGATTATAGAGCGCTGAACGCGAGAACGATCCCGGATCAATATCCTGTGCGTCATATACAGGACTTTGCACAGGCTCTCGGAGGAAAAGAAATATTTACGACAATAGATCTGGTGCGGGCGTATCACCAGATTCTAGTGGCGGAGGAGCACATCCCGAAGACGGCGATCACCACACCGTTTGGCATATACGAATTTCCGTACATGTCATTTGGATTGAGAAACGCGGCGCAGACGTTCCAGCGATTCATTGACGAGGTTTTACGCGGCTTAGTTTTGCTACGCGTACGTCGACGACATCCTGGTCGGATCGGCATCGGAGGAAAAGCATCGAGATCATCTGAGAACAGTGTTCAAGCGTCTACAAGAATACGGGGTGACTATCAACCCCGCGAAGTGCGTGTTCGGGCAAAAAAAGGTGGAGTTCCTCGGATACGAGGTTTCCGACGGGGGAACGCGACCGCTGCCGGCGCGTGTGGAGAGCCAGGAACGGCAAAGGAGCTGCGAAGATACTTAGGCATGCTCAATTTTTACAGACGATTCCTACCGAGAGCCGCCGAGATGTTAGCGCCGCTTAACGACCTCCTCCACGGTAACATCAAGGGAAGAGCAACGATATCGTGGACGCCGCGAGCGCGGAAGGCATTTGAGGAATCAAAGGAGAGTCTGGCGCAGGCCGCGCTCTTGCGACACCCCAGGATAGACGCAGAGCTCGCCCTGTTCACTGACGCGTCGGAGCAGAGCATCGGCGCGACTTTGCAACAGCGAGGCAGCGACGGATGGGAGTCGTTAGCCTTCTTCTCGAAGAAGCTAAGCCCAGCCGAAGTAAAGTACAGCGCGTTCGACAGGGAACTGCTGGCTATCTACCTGGCAGTCAAGCACTTCCGATATATGCTGGAGGCGCGCGCGTTCGTGATTTACACAGATCACAAGCCGCTGATCTACGCCTTCCGACAGAGACCGGAGAAGAGCACGCCGCGCCAGTTCCGCCACTTGAACTTCATCGGGCAGTTTTCCACCGACATTCGGCACGTGACGGGCGAGGAGAACATCGTGGCGAATGCATTATCTCGAGTCGAGGAGCTTTATTCTCCCTTGGACTACGCTGCACTGGCGAAGTCGCAGGGGACAGACGAGGAACTCGACGACTACGCACGGCGGGAGACCGGATTGAAGCTTGAGAAAGTGCAGATTCCCGGAACGGGATACAAGTATATTGCGACACCGCGGCAGTTCCTGACAAGGCCCTTTCAGCGGGCCGCATTCAACCTGGTGCACAATCTGGCACACCCGGGAATCAAGGCGACGGGCAGACTCGTGGCGCAGCGCTACGTATGGCCGTCGATGAACGCGGACTGCCGCAGCTGGGCACGTGCATGCGTGCCCTGTCAGCAATCGAAGATCTTTCGGCACGTCTCGGCGCCCTTGGGAAGATTTGCTGTTCCGTCCAGCAGATTTGAGCACGTCCACCTGGACATCATCGTGATGCCCGTCTCGGAGAGCATGCGATATTGCCTCACGTGCGTGGACCGCTTCACACGGTAGCCGGAGGCGTTCGCACTACGAGATTAGAAGGCGGAGACGGTCGCAAGGTCGTTTTACAAAGGATGGATCTGCCGATTCGGGGCGCCCGTACGAATAACGACGGACCAGGGGCGTCAGTTCGAGTCCAATCTTTTTCGGCGACTGAGCGAGCTGACAGGAGTGCAGCACTTGAGGACGACGGAGTACGGTCGAACGGTTCCATCGCCAGCTCAAGGCGGCAATCAAATGTCGGCAGAGTGATCGCTGGACGGAGGTGCTGCCGACGGTGCTGCTCGGGATCCGAGCAGCGTGGAGAGACGACCTGCAGGCGACCGCAGCGGAGCTGACGTACGGCCAGACGCTGAGGATCTCAGGGCAATTTCTGAGCCGACGACCTGCGGGCAACAAGGACGACGCTGCCGGCTTCGTGAGGACGCTGCGGGAGCAATTCGAGAAACTGCGACCGGTGGACGGAACCCGACACGGGGAACAACGGCCGTTTGCCTACCGGGACCTGGCGACGGCCGAACAGGTGTTCGTGCGACACGACGGGCCGAGGACGATGCTGCAGGCGCCGTATGAGACCATACGCGATCGTCAGCCGCAACGAAAAGATCTTTGTCGTGCGCATGCACGGCAAAGAGAAAACGGTCTCGATAAACCGGCTTAAACCCGCTTATATTTTGCAGCCCGAAGCAAAGAGCAGCAGCTCGGCAGAGTCGGCGACACGGAGCTGAGAAGGTGCGGTCGACGGACGGAGAACGCGTGACGACACGAAAGTGCCGCGCCGAGAGGACAAGACGACGACGAGAGCGGGAAGAAAGGTCCGATTCCCGAATCAATTCCAGGTGGGCCTGTGACACCAGGGAACCAGGACGTAGATCGCGAAGCCCCTTAGGAATCGCCGCGAATATATAAAAAAAAGAATTAAATATACGGTTCGCGATTTTTTTAATTCAAGATTTTTGTTCTCGACGAAATTTGTATGTATATAGTAGGACAGACATGAGCCGCGGAACGCGAAAAAGAAAAAAAAACAAATTCGACACATCAGAAATCTGTATATATACAGGATGAGGCAATAACTAATAGGACCTTAAATATCTTCGAATCTATGAGGCCCAGAGGAAGATTTGTGTAACAAAATTGCACGGTACGAAGGGGGCTATCATATGGCAATAATAATTTTTGTCCAGGTGGAGGCGCTTCGGAGATACCAAGGTCATCTTTATTTTTTTAAATGGATTCAATATGTTTTTTTTCTATAATATGATCCTAAAAAAATCATAAAAATGAAAAGGTCAGGCCATGTTCAAAAGAAGGTACTCAAAAATTTAAACCTTTAAAAATTTAAACGATCTAATAATAAATTATCACGAAAAGTAACTGATATGTTATTCAAGGTGCCAGTTCAAAGTGAACATACGTAAAGTGTATATTATCTAAATTTAGTAATAATATATTACCATGAAAAGTAACTGATATGTTATTCAAGGTGCCAGTTCAAAGTGTGAACATACGTAAAGTGTATATTATCTAAATTTAGTAATAATATATTACCATTGAACATACATACATATAAGTAAAACTGATTACAATTTGATTCTAGAAAATAAGTGCGATATGTTATTCTTAGTGCACAAAATATAATAGTCGTTTATAGAGATTTGATTTGAAATTCATACTAGCCCGTACAATGAAAAATAATTGCTCGTAATTCCAGAGTACCAATTTGTTAATGACTCAGAAAAATAACAACAAACGATTGCCGTCAGCAGAGCGATTAACTGCAACTACATTGCCTATCGTTCCATTGACAAGTCCCAAAGTTACGTCAATGTTTCGTCGAATCATCACTTTAGCGCCAATTTTAATCGCTATTACTCTTTCAATGCCAGCTGTTTCAGACACTTTATCATCTTTGTCTTCCAAAATTTTATGCACCTTTTTTTTCATTGCTGGAGCACAGTCGACATCATCTTCTGCTATCAGTAGAATTTCATCGCTGTCGATTTTATCGAGCATTGCTGTGTTCAAAACCTTGCACAAATAACACGTGGGCAATAAACAAATTGTATCAATCGGTAATTGATTCATATAAGTGCAAAGTTCATTCAATCTTTCGTCGCAACTACTTTCTTTAAAATTGATTTTTCTAGACTGAAGAACATTGATGTCAGAATCCGTTACTAAACCTATTCGTATTCTAGAAAGTATATCACGATATGTATTGTCGCATTTTTGTTGCATATTAATCAAAAGTTCGTCGTACTCAAACAATCTCCACAAATCACATCCACTCATGGTACCTAAATACTTCTGAATCTTTGATCGAGACATTTTAACAAACGAAAATTGTCCTTTTACAGGAGGAAGCTGCAACAAGTCCCCAAACAGGAGAATGTGTTTTCTGCCAAAGAAACCATCATCTGTATCTGTCGTATCAAAGATTTCACATAATCGTAGATTGATAAACATAAATGTCACATTTGAAATCATGGATACTTTATCGATTATAAATAATTCGACATTCTTTAATTTGTCTCTCAAAGTTTTCAAGACCATGTCTGACAATTGCGTATATTTTGGTGTAGATTCATGACTAACGGGTAGTTGAAACATTCTATGGATTGTCAAGCCATCGATATTGAATGCTGCGATACCCGTGGGAGCAGATATGGCAGTCGTTTTTTCCAAATTTATTCTGATCCAATGTTTAATTGTTTCAATTAGAAAACTTTTCCCTGTACCACCCTCGCCACTTACGTACAGTCGCAGAATCTGATTCGTAT